GGCGCTTCGTGAGCAGCTGTGCCAGCTGCTCTCCAAGCACAGCTGCGCAAACCGACGGGACCTGGGGCCGAATCCTTCTTCCTATGGAGGTGGTCCAAGAACTGATCACGCGCGTTTCCAAGGGGGCCTTTGGCGGGTCGTGTTCGCGCGCCAGCAATCGCCGGGGTCGATGGGGGGCGCCAGGAAGAGGGGGCGGCCCGCAGGGCCCACAGCGCCTTCTCTCCGATCGCTGAAGACATCCCCCCAGCGTTCGCAGAGCAACTTCGAACGCGAAGTCGGGTCGGCACGAGAGTGGGCAGGGTGGTCGATGACACCTCGGAGGCATATCGCACACTGCCGGGCCTTCCAGGCCTTGGCCAACCTGCGGACGCGCACGAAGTGAAAGTCTGGATTGGGGCATGGCCCAGCACTCGAGTGTCCGACGCGCCACTCCTAGGCGACGAGCTCCTGATTCATGAGTGAGAAGATGCGGCAATGAAAGCTACGCCTGTCATTCTGAATCATGGATTCACGATCGTAAAGGGGCGCAGTGTGGGGCGGGCTAGAATGATCTCGGAGGCCTGTTTCGCCAGCAAGCCCTGACCTGTGAGCGCGGACCGGGCCCGAGGCAGCTGGCGGGCTTCTCGGCGCGGGCGTCGGCCAATGTCTTCAACGCGTCGGCCTCGGCGCGCTTGCCAACTGCGGCGATCGACGACTTGATCTCCTCAACCGCAAGGACTGGGTCCTCGATGAAATCCTGGCCGCCGGCACGGTCTTCAAAGCGCGCGGCAAACGAGCGGCGAAGACAGACCCGCGGCGGCAGATGCAAGCCTGCCTGGGGCACCCACGGCTGCATAGCGAGACGCAATGGCACGTGATCGGATGGGAAGGCGAGGTCGGCGACGCCCAGCATGGTCGAGCTCGAAGAAGACGGGCGTATACATGCTCCAGTATATCCGATCGGGTCGACTTAACGACGCCAAATCAGAAGGCGGACTGATAGCGCGACGACAAGTACACATGGGGTTTCCAGCTCTGCGCGGTGGGGAAATAAGAGGGGAATAGAGCAGCGCGCCTGGCGGGCGCGAGTCGCTCGGCCCCTGAAGTAGCAATGGGCCTGCCTTCTCCAGCTTCGAAACAGCTGAAGTCCCCCAGGATAAAGAGAGCGGTGTTCAGAGCGGGCCTCGCGATGCTTCTGACGGCGAGAAGCTGTTTCCGAGCGGCAGGGTCGGGGAGCCCGGGGTCAATGCGGACGGTGACGAATTGCAACTCTCCCTCGGGACCTCTGAAATTAAAATAGGCCATTCGGCCAGGCACAGGCTCGCGGAACTCGGCGAAGGGTAAGACCCTTAGCAGATCGCTGGCGACGAACAGGAGCAGGCCTCCAGCACTAGCACGACTGCACAGGGGACCGAAGACGGAGTGGCACCTGAAATCTCGTTCTGTGGAAGGTCCCCAGGGGCCCCGTAAGCCTCTTGTACGCAAACGACCTGGTTTCTTTGAAGTACGGAAAACGGGGCTTATGAACATTAGGTTGGGCACGAATTTGATCCGCATACATCGAGACCATCAGGGCTTGCGAGTTCCACGTCGATATCCTGAACGGTGTATCGGGCGCGTGGTGAGAACATTGGGATGAAGGGGGCGGGAAAACCAATGGCTCTGTCTCTGCTGGCACTGGGGGCAAAGAGGGACTGGAAGGAGCACAAGGCTTGGCTCTGCAAGCCCCGCGCTCGGCCTGGCCTTCGCCCGGCACAACATCGGGGGGGGGACATGCCAGGACCGAGGTGCCCTGAGGAAGCCGTTCACAGAGCGGCGATCAGAGCGTCGATCTTCTCATTCGTGATGTCTCACACGAGGAGGTTTGCGTATATTGGCTCGAGCTTGAACGTGTCCTCGCCCTGCTGAATCGCTTTGGCCACCCCGAAACCCGTCGTCGTCGGTGATCACCTGCAGAGTGGCTTTGCGCCCGTTGGGTCCGAGATTGCAGCCTCCTGTACATGACAGGACTTTCTTCAGCTCGGTAAGGACGCCGACATAGAAGGCCCGAGGACGCACGTTTTTTTCTGCCTGGCGTGGAGCGGCAAGTCGCCGCGCACCCTGAGGGGACACTTATTCTGATCTCTGAAATCGACCCACCCCATGCTGATGTCATGTAGATTGGTATGAAAGCTCTTGGCGTCATCCTCGGCGGAGAACCTGAACTTATAGACCTGGCTGGCTCCGTGGAAGATGGCCGTCACCCTGTTGGTGTCTTCTAGCTCGGGGAAGTGGCCTTGCATGGACTGCCAATGCGCCATGCGGGTCTTCATGAGGAGGGGCCTCGGGAACGTGCCCACGAAGCGGGTGCACAGGTCACTCTCGAGGTCGATGGTGGGGGTGACCTTCCTCGCCTTGTCGCCGACAAACTGCTTGACCGATGTCGGGCGGCTGCCAAAGGAGGATTGGTACGAGGTACTGCCTGCGCTCGACGACCAATTTTCGAGAATAGGGTGGATAACACACAGGAAGTGGACGAGAGGAGGGGGCAGACGGGGGAACGGGAGAGAGGGGGAGGAGGAGGAGGAGGAGGAGGAGGAGAAGCAGGAGGAGGAAAAGGAGGAGGAGGAAGAGGAGTGGGCAGAAGAGGACAGACGACGAGGTGGACGGGGACGGGGACGGGGGGAGGGTGGATGACACACAGGAGGTGGACGAGAGGAAGGGGCAGACGGGGGAACGGGAGAAAGGAGGAGGATGAGGAGGAGGGCGACGGCGACGAGGAACATTGATCAGGATGAGGAAGGAGCACGAGGCGGAGAGGGACGAGGCTGATGAGAAAGGAAAAAGGAAGGAGGCGGGGGCGGCGAGGCACCACCACGCGCAAGGACGCCGGAGGAGCACCGGTGGTACGCCGCCAGGCAATGTAAGTATACCGCGGCGCCACACGACCCTTCCGCAAACGGTGGGCGCATGATCCGCAACGGACTTCTCTTCCAGTGTGTTCCTCCTCCTCATCTTCCTCAAACTGCATCTCCTCCTCCTCCTCGTCCTCCTCCTCCCCATCCTCTTCCTCCTAACTTCTGTCCTGACATTGGTGGAAACATCCCTCCTCATCCTCCCTTCCATGGGCAAACCATCCGCAACGCCACTTGCCCTCCCGCATCCTAACCCTTACTGCCTACCGTCACACGGCCACCTTGGAAACTTGGCCTGCGCCTCATGAAACCATGAATGCGCACGCCCGTCGTCCCGATGTGCCCCCCCCCCGTGGACCCCCAAAGCACGGCCAAGTCCAAGTCTGCAGGGACTGCACCGCGTGTCAGCCACGGTACTGCCTGCCGCGTTCATGGATAGTCCAAGCGATGCAGTCGTACCCACTGCGCAGTGGAGGCATATCCATCCAGGACGCGGCGGGGCGTCCCCGGTCAGTCGGCGACACACGATTGGGAACAATGCGGTTGGGTGGAAATACGCTCGCGCGTCAGCGCAACCGTATACGAACAATGCCGTATATCACCGCAGACAAGCTGAGGCTGATCCGTCCAGGAAGCAGCGAAGCGTCCGCCACCAATTGCGGAAGATTGATGTGCGTGAAGGCTGTTCGCGCGTGAGCGCAAATGCATGGAAAAAGATACGATAATCATGCTGAGATAGTCGAGTCTGGCCCGTCCAGGGCGCGGCGGGGCCTTCGACGTCGAGCGGCGCAGATCAGATTGAGGATATCGAATGCGTGGAGATAAGTGCGCGCGTGAGCAGCGTATGCTTTGCTGCCCAGGGAGGGTTCGACAGTGGACCCCGGACGCCGCAAACGGCCCACCACGAAGCCTCTCCTGAGCGGCAGTCCAGCAGACGCGGCTCTTGCCTGGAGTCGCTACCTTCAGATAATGGCAAAGCTTGCAGGTCCACGCAGGACGCAGCGGGCGCGCGGGCGCCATCAGAAGCTATCATACAATGGTGCGAAAGCACTGGCTCCGAATAGCGCAATATATCGATACCACAAGTCAAACGCATTGCATTTATTGGTGGTCAGTGCGAAAAGTCCGCTACATACCAATCCTGGAATGAATGAAGGCATGGCCGTACTGGCATCATCGAATGTATCTGCTGACCCACCGTTGCGGTAGGTGTGACGATCGCTGGCATCACCCGCGCCACCTTCGTTGGACCACTGGGAAACATCGTGGAGATGAACCATACATCAGGCCCCCTGGGGATCCCTGTCAGATCCGGACTCTCGGGAACAGCCCTCGAACCGACGCCGGCTGAGCCTCAATCACCCCTGATCTGGGATGCGAGCAAGAGGGACGTGGGAGCAGGAGAGGCCGAGGGAAGAAGTCGCGAGGTCATCGTCGTCGTCGTCGTCGTCGTCGTCGTCGTCGTCGTCGTCGTCGTCGCAATCGCCGCCGCCGTCGCCGTCGTCTCCGCCGTCCAGGCCACGGCGCTCGACACGCCACGAGCTGCCAGGTGCCTGGTGGGCCGGCCTCGAGCGGCCTGCACTGCCGCCCTGACCGCGGGGGGGGGGGGCGCCTCGGGGCACCTGGAGCTGGCTGATGGTCCGGAGGACGGAGCCGCCGCTGCAGCCGCACTGGTGCGCCTCGTCAGGGAATGTCTGCACCGATCGGTTGTTGCTAGCAAAAGTGCCGCTGGCACAAGGTGTTCCTAGCTGTACGCGCCATTTTGGAACCGCTGGGGAACTCTGGGCCTCGTGAGGGGTGCTCTGGAGGCCATCTGGGCCTCTTCGGGAACCTTGGCACCTTTGGCAACACCCGAACCGAGTTGAAACATCGAGTCGAATCGGGACTGGCATCGAATCGGGCTGCGCTGTGCCAGGGTCCTGATCTGGATCAGGGCGCCCTGGCACGGTGCCGCATCGGAGTCGGACACGAAGCGGGTTCTGGCCTCGTTCGGGCCCCACGCGAACAGCCTGCCCTCGGCGCTGACCACGGCGGTGACGAACCTGCCGCAGGCGACGCCGTGGGGCACGAAGGCGGTCGCCTGCCGGCCCGGCTCCGTGAGGCACTGCACCTCGTCGGCGGGGCCCTCCTGCTCGGCCGCTTCGGAGCTCCCCTGGCCCGCCAGGAAGGTGCCCCACACGAACAGCTCGTCCTCCGCGGTGATGGCCGCGGAGTGAGAGCCGAGGGCGACCTCCGTCACGCGCGCGCCGCTCAGGGCCTCCACCGCGCCCGCCTCCGCGCACACGCCCCGCTGCACGGCCTGCGCGCCGCGCCCTAGGCGTCCGTCCTCCGCGAGGCCCCACGTGTGCAGCACGCCAGCCAGGGCCCCGCCGCCGCCGCCGCCGCGGAAGAAGACCAGCGACGCGGGGCCCCACTCGCCCCAGCCTGAGGGAGTAAGCGGGAAGTGCCTTTAGAACCCCCCCAACATTGGAAACTGATCATCATTTCGACGCCCTCATTGACGGACTGGAGCCCCACAAATCGCCGAAAATTCGCCGGCCCCCTTGTGGGGCCACCAGGCTGTAGGATTAGGGTTGCTGCTCCCTGCGCCAGTTGCAGTTTCAAGTCTCCGATGTTACAATCCTGCTTTCTGCTTCCTACTGCAAATTATCAAAAAAAGTCCGCGCGAGGGGCAAAGTCACCACACCCAAATCGCGTTGCCTGAATTCTCGGGGGGGGGGCGAGGGACACGTTAAAAATACAGGAGATTCGCTCCCCCGAAGCCATAACCCCATGCAGATTATACAATGGTTGCGTCCCCGAGGCAACAAACCTTCATATATAACGCCGTATTCGCGTTCCCGACACCATACCCCCTTGCGAATTGCACAACTTTCGCGTCCCCGAGGCCATACACCCTGGCAAATGATACAATTCTTGCGTCCTCGAGGCAACAAACCTTCGCGAATTACACCAGATTCGCGTCCCCGAAGCCATACACCCTCGCGAATTACCATCTTCGCATTGCCGAGGCCAAGAAGGCTCCAAGGTGCCCAAGGATAGTTTCAAGACGGCCCAAAAGGACCCAACGAGGCCCCAAGAGCGCCTCCCGAGAGAGCCCCAAGAGGCCAACATCGTCGATTTTACTTAAGCTTCTCAAGGATGTTAACTTTCTCTCAGTGTCAGCTTTCCGACGATCTAAGACTTTAAACTTTGCTAGAGTTTCACGGATTGAGGGCGGATGTTTTTCAAAATGTGGCTCTCGCCTTAGCGCCGCGCACATTCGTTTGTCAACTTTGCAAGACTTTCACGGATTGAGGGCGGATGGTTTTCAATATGTGACTCTCGCCTTAACGCCGCGCACATTCATCTTGAACATTTGCAAGAGTTTCACGGATTGAGGGCGGGTGATTTTCAACATGTGGCTCTCGCCTGAGCGCCGCGCACATTCTTGATACAACATTGCAAGGGTTTCGCGGATTATCGTGATCGACGTACCAGAAATGGTGTTTTGGACGGATTCACGATTTTGAGGGCGCAACAATTACGATGATTCGCGGAGTTGAGGTCCCAGGAATGGCATTCTGGCACGATTCAGGATCGTCAAGACGCACCAGTCAGGTTCATTCGTGGCGTTGGAATGCCGAGAGTAATGTTGTGGCATGCTTCAGGGTCTTCAAACGGTTCTTCCAACAAGGCAGGCCCCTCTGTGGGAGTGAACCGTTGTAGGGGCATATGAAGAGGGAACTTGGGGGAGGGTTTATTACAACATCGTTGGTAACTCTTGGGTTTACACTGGTCCTCCTCCGCCTCCTCCTCCTCCACCTCCTCATCCGCCTCTTCCTGATCTTCCCCGCCATCCTCACCCAAGTGCTCCCCGAAGGGTTTCCACAACGGCTTGGGGAACACATGGTCCGCTAGCTTGGCAGAGCTCTTGCCACAACGCTGGGACACATGGGCGATTCTAGAAGGCAGGGGGCGGCGGTGATTCGCCGTATGCGTCTTTGAGAACGTCAACGTCTCATTATGCGCTGATGATGCGCCAAAACAGCGCGGCGTCAGGGGGCAAGCGGCAGGGGGCGAAGCCCTTACGGATAATTATTTCTCCGCGGCACCCGTCGCGGCCCCACAAATAGCGGATACGAATAGCAGAGGGAGGAGGAGAACGGAGGGAGCTGGAGGAGGAGGAGGAGGAGGAGGAGGAGGAGGAGGAGGAGGACGGGAGAAGGAGGAGGAGGAGAAGGCGGAGAAGGAGGAGAAGGAGTCGAGCTTGTTCCGCACCGAAAGAAAAAGGAGGGAGGATCAAAGCTAAAGAACCTTCGAGGTTAGAAAGATACCAGCGTCGCTACAACTATTGCACTCCACTGCCCTCTCCTGGGGAGCGCTCTCACGAAGCTCTCGAGGCGACTCCGACCCCAGCCACGAGGAGAGCGCCGCGACTTCGGTAAGGATACCTCTTCTCCTCCCCTGGCAGGCCCTCGCTGTTCCGCGCCCGCGCGCAGGCCCAGACCGCCCGCGGCAGCGCGCCGCCCGCTGGGCCCAGGAACGGCGGCTCCCGCAGGCAGAGCTCGCCGCCGCCGTGGGCCCCGCCCCCGGCGTCGCCGCCGGCCGCGTGCAGCTCGAGGTCCTGGCCGCCATCGGCGGCAGCGAGCCCGTCCGCGTCCTGGGGCGGCAGCGGGCCGCAGTCGGCGCCGGGGTGCCACCTCTGAACGCAGACCTGTGGGGGCGTCCATACGGTAGGTTCGTGCGGCGTTGGCGCGCGCAAGGGTTTTTTACACCGCGTCGATTTATTAACCTTGAACCGATCGCGGCCCCGATCGCTCAAGGTTGAATTCCGTCGGGCCCAGTGGCGTCACCGAGTCCCTCAGTGCTTCCGCGTCGCAGAGGTCAACCTTGAACGCCTTCGCCGAGGTCGCCGGCGCGCCAACGCCGCGCGAACCTACCGTAGAAGGGTGGTGCGTCCAAGAGGGGGGGTTCGCAACTCGTGGCCCGCGGCGGGAGCACGGACGAGGGCGGGGACAAAAGGAGACGCGCGGAGGCAAGAGGAGGAGCCAGGATGATCTGCAGAGGCACCACGGCCCCAGCCACGATGTCCACTCCGCCCCGGGGTCTTCGGTGCCCCCTCTTGGACGCCCACGAGGCGGGGGAAACCCAGAACACCGATACGTCAGGTTCGCGCCGTGCCGACTTCGGCGTTGGTTTCTGACATCGCAGAGATCGTTCAGCCTTGAACGATCGGCCGTTTCCGACACGTACAAATCGTTCCACATCGAACGATTCTGGGTCGCCCGCGGCGTTCAAAGTAACGCCGCTGGCGGGGTCGCCACCAATCGACACGACACGAACCTACCGTACGGCTACTCCCCGGACCTCTCCCGGGGCGCGCTCTGACTAGCATTTCGAGGTGAATCCAGCGAGGACCTCACAGGAGGCCAAACAAAGGGAAAAGAGGAAGGGTAGCGGTATGGGTCTGTTCTCTCCTCCGGGAGACCTGGTATCCGTCGATGCGGCGCGCGTTGTCCTCCGGCCGCGGCCACCGCAGCACCACCAGGCCCGAGCCCCGCCTCCACGCGATGCTCGGGCGGGGGGGGGTGACCGGGTGTGAATGTAGAGCAGGGCCCCGAGGGTGCCCTTGACAGAACCCCTTTTGGAGCCGGCCAGTACCCCAAAAGTTCCCCTCCGGGGCCCTGTGTGGTTCACCCCCCGTGTATCGGCGGTGGGCAAACCTCCCCTAAGTAAACCACCCTCTGGTGAAAACTGCCTAGGACCGAAACCGACGGACCTGGACCCGCAAAAATGACGGCCGCGACGCCCTCTCGCGAACCGCAAACGGCCAATTCGCTAATCGACATGTCAGGGTAGGAGGTCATTAACCTCCGACTTGGCTTGCCGTCGCTCGGACGTCCATTCCCCGTGTTTTTTGTTCGACTTCCTGTGCTCATCTTTTTTCTTCGCCAGGTGATCCACTCTGCTCCTAGATGGCCCGCACCGACAAAAAAGGCGCACGCCCGAGCGATACCGAGATTTAGGCCACCCCCCCATTGCCACCCTGAAGTCGGGCCTGCCCCTCTACAGGAAAAATATTCCAAAATAGTAAACAAATAGTCTGGGGACGATCTTTTATTATTTCTGATCATTTGGGAATATATTTTGGGCGGTTTTTTGTTTTTCGTCCAAAATCCGCCTGTAGGGGGACATGCCCGACCTGAACATTGCCACCCGCCCGAGCCTCGCCCCGCCCGAGGGAGGGCAGCGCCGTCCACCACCAGAACGGAGCACTCTCTGCCGCCCCCCAGAAGGCCCAAAGAGGCCCCCGAGAGGTCTCCAAGAGGCTCTCGAGGCTCTCAGGAGGCCCCAGGGCGACTGGATTGCACGTGCTCGGGACGTGCTCTGGCATCGGAGCGGGGACTGGAAACGCGCTCCCCCCGCGAGCCTCGCCACGAGAGGCGCCGCCACTGGGTCCGGCACGTCGGCGACGTCGCCATCGTCGGCGCGCGCGGGGGGCGCCTGCGCTGGCCCAGGCATCGGCCGCCCGCCGCGCGCCAGGCCGGGACCGGCTGGGCCCTCGCAGGGAGGCGTCCAGAGAGGGCGGGGAGGGGGGCAGCATGGACTGTTAAGCCTCAGGAGGCAACCACTGGGAGGTCTTCGTCGGAAAGATTATAGAGAATTAGGCCCCATCGGGGGGCTGCTGCGCCGGATTAGGCCGCGGACTAGGCGGGATTCGGCTGGATTAAGCGGGATTAAGCCGGATTAAGCGGGAGTAAGCCAGAAGTCAGCGCCAGGCCCAGAGCAGATGCAGCTGGACCAGAGACAAAATGACATCATGAGACCCTCCGCCAGCCAAAACACACAGAACATCTCAAGGTGCCCTCCCCAAAGATGCACAAGAGCATCCGACAGACACGAAAAACAGTAGGGTACCCTACTCGAACCGACCTCGATCTTATACCTCGGTCCGACCGTAAGCCTGCGCCATGCCCATAACAGAGATATTGAAATGGGCAACTAGGGCAACGCGCTTCGCGTTCCGCGAAGCGCGATTATCGTCGCGCTTTCGCGCCGCCCACCCCCACCAGAACAGCATGAGGGACTCGCGCCTCGTTCCAAGAAGCAGGGGGGCCTCTGACAAGAAGCAGGGGGGGGGGCTGGTAGGCCCTGCGACCTGGCGTCATGGAACCAGAGCGCAGCGCCGTGAACGAGAGACGCGACCAGAACTCCCGACGCATCCTTTGCGCGGGGATCTCCTGGGGTAGGTGGGGGCGCCCTGGGGGCCCGGAGTAGCGCAAAGACGCCCGCTCTGATCTTACTCATAGCGCCCGTGGATCCAGTGGGGAGGTGGAACTACGGGCCGTGGCGCCGTAAGGAACACAACCTCGCGAACGAGAAACCCCGAGGATCTCCCCTGAGATCCCGCTTCAAGAACGGATCGCCGCATCGTGAACCATCACGACCCAAATCCCAACGCAAGTGGACAATTTGGCCCCGAAATCGGCACGGAGGAGCCCCGCGACGGCGGCGGCGGGCCCCGACCCAGGGCCTGCCGAGGGCGCGTAGCCCGCCATGGCCAGCTGCACCCTCTCCAGGGGCCCCTCCTTCGGATGGGGGGCGACGAGGGCAGGTGGAGGCAGGGGTGGTGGAGGCCTCCCAGATGGGGTCCGAGTGGATAGGGTCGGAGAATCCCACCGCATCGCCGATACATCGGCGATGCATCGCCGATGCATTGGCGATGCACCATCGACGCTGGTCATACATCGACGACGTTGGCGTGGAGAAAATCAGGCCCTACATCGAGCCGCATCGTCGATGCATCGGCGATGCGGCGCGATCCTCCGACCCTATCTACTCCGACCCCATCTGGGAGGCCTAGACGTTGGATGGGGGGGCCTCGAGCTAATTAGTTCCCAACCGTCCTGTGGTGTGGGGTCCTCGTTTTCAAGAGACAGCGCCCCGCGTTCCAACTCCTCCTCTTTTTTTCATCCCCCTCCTGCCTCCACTCATCCTTGCCTCTGCCCTCCGCATGTCTCTGATGCGGCACACCCCTCACACGCTTCGTGGCCCCATATGGAGCTCCACCGATGGCCCCAGTGGGAGGGTTCGCATGGCACCACCGCGCCCACTTCGGCACACACCTCAAACGGTCGTGGCCCCATATGGAGTTCCATCGAAGGCCCCAGTGGGAGGATTCGCATGGCACCACCGCGCCCAATCCAGAACATCCCTCACACGGCTCTCGTGGCCCAATAGGGAGCTCGACCGAAGGCCCCAGTGGGAGGGTTCGCATGGCGCCACCGCACCCACTTCGGCACACCCCTTACACGGTTCGTGGCCCCATAGGGAGCTCCACCTAATGCCCCAGTGGGAGGGTTCGCATGACACCACCGCACCCAATTCGGCGCACCCCCTCGCATGGCGAGTGGCCCCATACAGAGCTCCACCGAAGGCCCCAGTGGGATGGTTCGCATGGCACCACCGCGCCCAATTCGGCCCACCTCTCACACGTTTCGTGGCCCCATAGGGAGCTCCACCGAAGGCTCCAGTGGAAGGGTTCGCATGGCACCACCGCGCCCACTTCGGCACACACCTCAAACGGTTCGTGGCCCCATAGGGAGCTCCACCGAAGGCTCCAGTGGGAGGGTTCGCATGGCACCATCGCACCCAATCCGGAACACCCCTCACACGGTTCGTGGCCCCATTGGACGCTCCACCGAAAGCTCCAGTGGGAGGGTTCGCATAGCACCACCGCGCCCTATTCGGCACACACCTCACACGTTTCGTGGCCCCATAGGAAGCTCCACCGAAGGCTCCAGTGGGAGCGTTCGCATGGCACCATCGCACCCAATCCGGAACATCCCTCACACGGTTCGTGGCCCCATAGGGAGCTCCACGTATTGCCCCGATGGGAGGGTTCGCATGGCACCACAGCACCCAATCCAGAACATCCCTCACACGGTTCGTGGCCCCAAAGGAAGCTCCAACGAAGGCTCCAATGGCAGGGTTCCCATGGCACCACCGCACCCAATTCGGCACACCTCAAACGGCTCGTGACCCCGTAGGGAGCTCGCCCGACGGCTCCAGTGGGAGGGTTCGCATGACACCACCGCACTCAACTCTGCACACCCCTTACACGGTTCGTGGCCCAATAGGGCGCTCCGCCGAAGGCTCCAGTGGGATGGTTCGCATGGCACCACCGCACCCAAATCGAAACATCCCCTCACACGGCTCGTGGCCCCATAAGAAGCTCCACCGAAGGCTCCAGTGGGAGGGTTCGCATGGCACCACCGCGCCCAATTCGGAACACCCCTCACACGGTTCGCGACCCCATAGGAAGCTCCACCGCCGGTTCCAGTGGCAGGGTTCGCATGGCACCACCGCGCCCAATTCGGCACACCCCACACACGGTTCGTGGCCCCATAGGGAGCTCCACCGAAACTGGTACCCACAATGAGGTACTCGCAGCTGCATATGATTGGGTCCCTCGTCAAGCTAATGTTCGTTGTCCTTCCGTTCTGTCTTCGTGCTGCCTCTGCGGCGAAACGAGATCAGAACAAGAACGGCCCACGAGATCGCCAGAACACCGTTTGGCTCGAGCCCTGGGATGGGGGGAAGGTGGCAGGAGCAGAGGTAAAGCATGGTGCACGCAGGGGCAGAGGCATAGTAGGAGGTAGGGGCAGAAGTAGGGCAGGGGCACAGGTGGGGTAGGGGGGGCAGACATGCTGTCACAAGAACGTCGTTCGAACCGGCCCTTGAAGGAGGGAGCTGGGGAAAACCAAAAAGTACTGATACTGCTACTCCCTGCACCTCTCCTGGGGTGCGTTCTGACCAGAATTTCGAGGCGAATCCAGCGGTGGCGACGAGGGCCTCCCAGGCCGAAAACGCATAAAACGTGGAAATGGTAGCGGTATCGGTGCCGCTTCATCAGGCTGAGGAGCGTGATCATCCGGCTGGATTTGCTCCCTGACTCCACGTCGGGACAGCCCCCCCTCTGCGAGCCCCCGGCTCCTGCCCCGCGCTGCGCGGTGCAAGAAACCCAGTGTCCCGAGCCTCGCGTAGATCGTGACCGTCGCCACCGCCCCTGGACTTCTCGAGGTCGTCGTCGTCGTCGTGCTCCTTCTTCTTGCTGTTTTCTCGCTTTTCCTCTCTCTACAAAAATGGAACTCCACACTGCGCAACCTCACCTGCCATACGATTGAAAACCGTCGCCAGGCAGACCGGCTGCCACCTACGAGCCGACCTCCTGCGATAGGCAAGCTCATGAGGTGAACCATGGCCTGAGAAAGAGAGAGAGAGAGAGAAGGAGCGTGTGAAAAGTCACGAATGTTCCCCCCTGCGCAGTCGTCGTCTTGCTCCTCCTCCGCTGCCTTCCGCATCCTGTGCTTTAACATGTGCGTTCCTTGCGCCTGCGTGCAGCGGTCTGAGAATGCCTCGAGCGAGGGCTGCATATTCGTGAGGGAACTGGAGGGGACTCTCGAGCGGGGGCCCCGCCCTGTAGAGCTCCAAGAAAAAGAAAAGACACCGTGTGTCTTGACAAGGTTTCCTCTCGCCCGTGCACTAGAGCCGTGTGTGTGTGTGTTTTTCTACGCGGGTGCCTTTCGTCTGTGAGCTCAGACCGCGTGCTTCTACACAAGTCCTCTTCGCCCGAGAATTGGCACCGCTTGTTTCTGCACGATTCGGAATTCGTCTCGGTTCGTATTATTTCGAATCGACAACATATAAATTCGTCGCGTCTCGGTTCGCCGCATTTCGGTCCGTCTAATACCTGCATGTCTCGCCTCAGTTCGGGTTCGCCCCCTGTAAGTTCGTCCTTCTTGTTCCGCTTCGGAACTGGATTGGATGGTGAGCTCGAGCTCGAGCTGGTTGAGCGCCCGCACGTTTCGATTGCAACTGGCTCTGGGCGAGCTATGCGTCCAGGCAGCTCGAGCTTAAGATCCAGATCAGTTCGGCCAGGAGTCGAATGCCAAGAATGACTCGACGCACAACGCAATGGAACACTGCACAGTTCAACACAGCATGACGAAGCACAATTCAACACAGCACGGATCATCCGCATAAGGCGCTAGGAACGCGGCCCTGGGGGCGCACACCAATTGCTCATTACGAGGGATCGTGGCCCTCGGAATGAGGCTCCTTCGGCAAAAGACGCCCTGTGCTTTCAGAAGGTAGAGCCGAACCGTGTTCGGCTCGTCCCAGTCTCGGTTCGTGTTGCTTCGATTTGTTTCGAGTCGGTTCCACCCTCCTCCTTGGTCGTACGGTTTCGGCCCGTCATGTGCCAATTCATCGCGTCTCGGTTCGCCACGTTTCGGTCCGTCTATCGTTGGAGTGTGTCGCCTCGGTTCGAATTCGCCCCCTGGATTCGGAAATGAATCGGGTCTTGAGCTCGAGCTGGTTCAGCGACCCGCACGTTTCGAATCCACCCAGCTCTGAGCGAGCTAAGCGTGCAAACAACTCGAGCGTAAGGTCCAGGTCAGTTCGGTTAAGATCCAGATGCTAACAACGACTAGATCCGCAACGCAATCGGACACAACACAGTTCAATAACGCATGGCGCACCACAATTCAGCAAAGCCCCAACAAACACAGCCCCC